ATTCAAAAACAGTTTAAAGGCTTTTCAATCGTTTCGATCGTGTAGGTCAAAGACATTTCGCTGTGAATCGTTGCAGCGTCTGACTGTATATCGTATTGTAAGGCGTTTACATTTTAACGAGACAGGGCATCCGCCTCGTAATTTTCTTTGCCTGGTTTGTAGAACACTTTTGCGTTGTGTTCATCGATGAATGCCTTCCATCGTTTGATTTTTGGATTCGATGCCAACCATTGAGGCACCAGTAGTTAGGCCAAAGGGCTTTTTGAAGTCTAGGTACATAAGTATGACATCTTCTGATCCCAGGATATTCCTCAGTCTTTCGAAAGCATTAACTTGAGTTTCGTCAAATTCAATCGTGACCTTTTTGGATATATGCTTGCTCACCGAGCCATTTGAGAATATTGGTTAGAGGCCTTGCTATTTCTGCGAAGTCCTTAATAAACCTCCTGTAGTAACTGGTATGGCTCTTGTATGCTCTTGTATCGCCCTGACCATTTCATGGTCAGTTTTTGCCCCGTTTTGGGTCACCACAAAGCCTAAGATTTCCACGTTCTCTTTAAAGAACTTGGTCAATATGTAGCACATGGTCAGTTTCGTTTTTAGAAGAGATTATTACATCATCCACATAAACGTAACATATTTTTCCCTCAGGATGTCATCGATGGCTATTTGAAAAATGCTTCCTGCGTTTTTCAAGCCAAAAGGCAGACGGAAAAACTCATATTTGCCGCCGTCACTGCGAATGACGTTTTCTCACAGTCTTGTTCCGCTAGATAAATTTGGTGATACCCCGATTTTAAATCTAGAGTCGTAAAAGATTTTGATTTTCCTAGATTTGCTAGAATCATTGGAATATTCGGCACAGGGTATCGATCGGCTATAGATCCTAAAGTCGATCACTAATCGTTTATTTTTGCTGCCATTGCTGTCAAGGCCTTTTTTGTCAACAACCCATGCTGGGCTGTTGTATGGGGACTTTGATGGTCTAATGATGCCATCTTTAAGTAACTGCTTGATTTCGTTATTTACGAAATCTGAAACTCCCATTGGGTAAGGGTATAATTTTATGTAGACTGGCTCGTTGTCTACAGTGCGGATTGTAGCAATGACAGAGGTATTGAATAGCAACGCCTCGTAGGAGGTCGAAAACACGTTTATTCTTTTCAAAATCATGGTTTTGAATTCCTTTTTGACGGATGCAGGCACTATTATGTCATCCACATCTGTGAATTTTATACTGTCACAGTAATGATACTGCAACTGCTAGGATTTGTATTTGTAATTAATAGTGTTGTTACGTAAGTTCAACGCTACGTGTGCTTGTGTTAACAAGGCGAATCCTATAATGGCATCAAATGAGTGTGTCTAGCACGAAGAATGGGGAGACTTGGCCAAAAATGTTTTTAAGACACTTACTGGTTACTTTGCTCGAACCGTGTATCGAGCTTACCGTGAAAGGGCTTTCGACAGGAATTACTTCTTCTAGCTCCTTTACGGGCTTAATGTAATTCTTTGCCGTTAATATTCTTATATTTTCCCACCCAGCTGTCGCTTGATGTATGGCAGCCGGGAGCGTTCCCTAAGAAATGCAATGAGTCGTTGTCGCATGACTCGCTGTCGTCTTCGATTTCGATTGAGAATCTGTGGCGCGCTGAACAACGTTTTTCAGTCGCTGCCGCCTTGGTCCTGTTACGCTATCTGACGTGTTTGGCCTTTTTTGGGCGTGTTCACCACTAGTTTGGGGCTTTGGAAAATGGGTGGCTTGCCTACATTTAGAAGATGAGTCAACTTCCATTGGCTCTGGAGCTTGCCCTTGGCTTTCTTTTTTGTTCTTATCTTGGGGGCTGTTATCGCCCTGCTGCCTTTTAACAAAATATGGGTTCCTCTTACCGCCATGATCATCTCTATTGTTTTTGCCTTGTTTCGCGTGCGGTCGATTTCTATTATCTTCCCTCGCCTGTTCTCTCTCTGCCATGGCTTTGGCGTAGGATGCCGAAAACATATTGCGTTCTTTGCTCGATTCTGCTTCTCTGGCTAGTGCCAATGCAGACGCTTTTCGGCTGTGCCGGAAGAACAATGACCTTAAGGGACTATTTCAGTCCAGAAAAAATGGTTTGGAGTGCATCTGCTCTGACTTCACAGTTGAGCAATGTCGCGTACTCCGCCTCATGTGACTCTACGATTTTATTTGTAACTAGTCCTCATCATAATATTCCATGAGGCTTAGTTCACCTTGCCTAACCATCTCGAGGTTTTGCCTCAAAAGGCGTAGCGAAGTTTTATCTGCATATGAGCAATCTAGCCTAGCTATGATTGCGTCAAAATTAAGGACTGTATTGTGAGACACTAGCACTGCCCTAGCTGCGCCCCTAATTTTATTTCTGATGATTGCCATCGCTTGGTAACGAATGCAGCTGCCATTAAATGGTTTGAACAGCTCGTACGCGTCTACGGCCGATTGTCAACCCCTTGTAGATTATGTTCGGAAAGCAACTGCTTTACAAATCAATGGCCTTGTGGCTCAGCAATGAAATAATTAGTATAACGGATTGATGACCGCAACTGCCGGAGCAGTATATTTGAAGAAGTTGTTCTTACATAGTTGGATACAAAACTAAATTAGAATTGAAACATTGAATTGGATCTGAACCCAAAGGCTTGGCGCATAAGTCTCAGCTGCTATATCCGACAAGCCGAATCAGCATACGCCAACACCGACGCTTGCGACATAAGCAAGTGTCAGGTTACCGCTGCTGGCCGCAGTGGCTGGGCACTGAACTCATGCGTCAGCAGAATAACGCAATGTAAGCAAAGTGCACTGTAACATTCTTGCGTTCTTATAAACAAAAGTGTGTTCTTATGATCTAAATATGAAGCTACATTCTTATGTGTTAGCTAATATGAGGAGCATAGTAAAACTAATAAATGCCGAGTTTGCTCAAAATATGTTGATAAAGCACTTTTTTTTCATAGAACAACTTAATTTTCGACCGATCGATCCTATGGCAGCTATATGATATAGTTTCCCGATCTTAATAGAATTTTTCATATATATGAGGAGCATAGTAAAGCTAATAAGTGCCGAGTTTGGTCAAGATATCTCTTAAAAACAAAATGTCTTTCATACAAAAACTTAATTTTCTACCGATCATTCCTATGGCAGCTATATCATATAGTGGTCCGATCTTAATAGTATTTTGCATATATATGAGGAGCATATTAAAACTAATAAAGGCCGAGTTTGGTCAAGATATCTTGAAAAACAAAATGTTTTTTCATTCAACAACTTAATTTTCGACCGATCGTTCCTAAGGCAGCTAGTCCGATCCAGCTGGTTTTGACATATGTCTAGTTTGCATAAAAACAGACAGACGGACATGGCTATATCGACTCGGCTGTTGATGCTGATCAAGAATATACATATATACTTTATAGGGTCGGAGATGTCTCTTTCGCGTTACACATTTCAGAACAAAATTGTAACACCCCCTGCAAGGGTATAATAACAAACAGTAAAAGGTTCTAGTCAGGAGCTCCCGACTAGGGAATACCCTGAACCCTCTTATTCCAACACCAAATGCTCGCGCAATGCGCTCGTTTGAAGTAATAAAAATAAATTTAAAAAAAAAGTTCCCTTGGCAGCGTTCGAAGTCGCAACTGACTTGCTGCCGACTCTACTCAATAGTCACACCAGCTAAAAAAAAAATTTAGTTTCCCCGGTAGGACTTGAGCTTGCGACAGACCGCACCACTTGCCACTGCCACTACTCAACAGCCCCAACAATAATTGAGCATAAGTAAAAAAACAAGTAAGAGGTTCTAGTCTGGAGCTCCCAACTAGGGGATACCCTGAACCCTCTTCTTCCAACATAAAATATATATATATATATATATATATATATATATATATATATATATATATATATATATATTATATTAGTTGGTGACTCTAGCTCTTATTATTTACCGAAATTGCCCAAAAAACAGGATATCGATATAGATTTTTATCGATTGCTTGGAAACGGAGTAAGTTATCGATTATCGGAAACAAACTCGATCTGCGCGGGAGCTAGGAGCATCTACATCTTAAATTTCAGGTTCTGAGATCCTTTGGTTCATACATACGGACGGACGGACGGACAGACAGACGGACATGGCTAGATCGACTCGGCTATTGATGCTGATCCAGAATATATATACTTTATGGGGTCGGAGATGCTTCCTTCTGCCTGTTACATACATTTGAATTTTGCACAAATACAATATACCCTTATACCCATTTTTAATGGGTTCAGGGTATAAAAAACAAGTTAAAAGAGCAGCACAGAAAACAATCGTCATTGCAATGCTATTTATAGAATTTGAAGCAGACAATCATGGATGTGTGTTTACATGTATACATATATTTTTGGAATTTGCGCTATCTGCTGCAAACACGTGGGCAGTCAAACCACATAATTTCGGTGTGTTTCTTAACCGATCCTAATGTAACTATCCACAGTCTATCTTATTGTACAATAGAATATTTGTGTATTCTCAAAAAGTGAATTGTATTTAAATTGTGGCTGAAATTGGTGGGCAATACAAGTTGGGTTATTAATTTGATTTATAGCTCTGCGGTGGTAGTACTACTTGATATATATATATGTATATATAATATTATGTTAGCTACATGTCAAAGAAATTTGCTCAAAAACATGATTTTGATATCGATTTGTATCGATTACTTGCAAAATGGGGCTACCTATCCACCTAATATTGACCTACTTTCGAAATTTCAAGTCTTCAGCTCTTATAAGTTCTGAGATCCTTGCGCTCATACATACGGACGGACTGACAGACATTTGCACAAAATTATTATACCCTTTTTACCCATTTTAATGGGTTCAGAGTATAAATAGAATTAACCGTTTTATTAATTTATTAAAATAACTCAGACTAAGAAAGCTGCATGAATTATTCCTTCATTTTAATTAAATTGTAATATTTTACAAATTCTAGCCTTCATTCAGACGATAGACTCCTTGATTGGAGAAAATGTTTACCTTCCATGTAATGTAACAACTAACGACGGTGATGAAGCTATATTAGTTCTGTGGTACCGAGATGACAAAGCTACTCCAATATACAGGTGAATATATGGTTGTTGTAGTCATGTAAGTCTGAAAAGAATATCGATTCTAAACGTCGGATAAAAAATATGTATGGATATATATATATATTGAAATATATAAGTTAAGAATGACCTTATGCGGATACGCACTTTTTTAAAATGTTTCCTTTCGCTGGACCTTTTGGATAGCACTAAAGTAAAGTTTCCAGTAGTTCCATGCAGTCATAGTGTAACCACTATGACCAGCAAGACGCATTTTTTTAAATTCTGTAACTTCTGTATTAGCGTTATTTCTACAGCAGCTTGGCTGATCCATCCCACAATACAAATATACAAATTAACATATAATATACATATAATACATATACTTAATATGAACAAATGTCCACAAATAACATGCACTAAAAACACTAAGTAACAAAATTATTTTTTTTTATCTGTTACCAACCCAAATTTTTTGGATACAATTGGGGCACCAGATAAGTAACAAAAATTTGACTGTGGTGAGCATTCTCCTAATATCTTAACATCTGGTTTTTTTTCACAGGTGTGCCTGCGAATTTAAAATAAAAAAACTTATTATCGCAGAGCTCATTACCGTTTTTAAGGAACGGCGATGAAACCTGTTTAGTAAAAAGTATGGATTAAGCTCATTACTGTCAGGAGTTAGATGGGCTTAGGTAGAAAGACTGCGGTATCTAGAGCAAACAACAAGAATTGTTTCTGAATAGATTAAATTCTGTCTTGATGAATAGAATATTGTGGCGACCAGATACATGAGGCATACTCTAGTATGGGTTATACCGAATATATATAAAGGGTCTTTTTCGTGTACGGATCGTCAAACTCCTTTGACATTCGCTTGATGAAACCAAAAAAATGATGGCCTTATTGACCACGGTCGTAACATGAGAATCGAATTTAAGTTAGTGATCAAGAAAGGCACCTAGATCATTAACTTACAGGGACTGTTGACACGCTCAAACGGTAAGCAATCAAGGATGTTAGAAACCATTTGAGGAAGGGTTCTATACAAATTTTGAATTTAACAGGTTAACTTAAAACCAATATTGAAAGCCATCAATAACGCTTTGTGAAAGATAACATGATGCAAGGCGAGGGAAGGTAATTAATGAAGAGAGTAAAGAGTAGCGGGCAAAGATGACTACCTTGAGGAACACCGGAAGTCACCTGAATAACATTTAGAAAAAAAAATTTCTGAATATAACCTTTTGGTTTCTGTAACGTAAACACTCTGAGATCGAGTTCAAAAGATTGACTGGGAAGCCGAGAAGGCATAATTAATGAATCATTAAGGAGTGATTAACGGAGTCGAAAGCCTTACTGATATCATTATAGATGATATCAGTCTACCTTCTTTTCTAAAGCCCATTAACTGCTAGCAAAATAAGTTAATGAAGGTTAGTGGTTGTAGATCTTCCCTTCACGAACCCTTGCTGGGAAGGTGACATTAAAGAGATACATAGACATTGCAGTTGTAGATAATAAACGATTCTTTCCAAATGGTCAGAAAATATGAAGTGCTTACAGACAATTCAAAAAATTTAAGATAGGTTTACATAATGCTGCAGCACAGGCTTGATTGTGTTGAGCTAGCTGAGAAGCGAACTTTCAGTAATAAAAAGATTAAAGATGCAGTTTGAAAGCAACTTAACTGAAGATGGCAAAAAAGATGTCTAAAGTTTAGAGTTGTCAAAGTTAAAAAATGTCTTAGGATTATGTGCAAACTAAAGGCGACAACGGCGAAGGTAATCTTTATAGCATATGGAATTTCCTATCAATCATAATGATTTCTTAAACTTCACCCTTTTTAATCTCATTAGTCCTCTTGAGATCCAGAGAGGCCCAGCATACCTCGCTTGGTGATCAAGAGGGACGCATATTTCGAAGATCGAGTACAAGGTATCATAAAATAGCTTAATGGCAATCAATGTCTGCACAATTGTACAGTAGGGACTAGTTGACGTGCAAAATTAGGTCATTTAGTTTATGATAATCAGCCTTATGAAAACAACGGACACGATCAGCTAATTCCGATTCCTTGACAGACACTCGAGCTGGTAGATCAATGACCATATCCAGAGTTGGATAAAAAGGGTCTTCAGGAAGTGTAAGTGGGTCAGTCCTCCAACAAGAAGATCATATCAAGAGACCTATTTTATGAATTACACACCCGATTAACCTGACGTAAGGACATTTTATGTAGACCATCAACAAATTAGGCAATGAGGGAAACAGGTCCCTATCGGTTGCTTGTAAATATTTCTGGCGGAAAGTGATTTACAAGGATGAAATGTTCCTCTCATGTCTGGGGCTTGCATTTTTGCCAGTATAAACCAAAATAGCATTACAGAAAAATTACCATGCTGTTATAATGCGAAGCAGACGCGCATGAATGTGTGTGTGTACATGTATACAGAAATTCTTAAAGCTGCTGCCCCATTCAATTTCGCAGTTACATATAACTTTGGTTTTTTCTTAACCGATCCTTATGAAATTTTCTACAGTATATTTTATTGTACCATAGAATATTTGTGTATTCTGAAAAAGTCAATTGCATTTAAATTGTGGCTTAAATTGGTTGGCAATAAAAATTGGGTGGCGATAGGTATAAAATTAAAGATACTTGACATATATGTAATATTCTAGAAGAAACATATCATGTTTGACTCTAGCTCTTATTAATTACCCAATTTGCTCAAAAAAAAAAAGGATGTCGATATCGATTTTTATCAATTGCTTGGAAACGTAGTAAGTTATCGATTATAGGAAACAAACTCGATCTGCGCAGGCACTAGGACCACCTACATCTAAAATTTCAAATACCAACGATAACGAGCTAAAATGCAAGAATTTCGCAACGACGTGGCAAACCCTTTCATTTGTTTATATTACTCGTCCCTTCAGAAGGGAAGAAAGCCACCGACTTTTGAGAAAAAATGAATTTGTGGACATTTTTGCTTGTGCGCACAAATACACACGCAGACAGTACAACGGTAAATTCACAAATTGAAAGTGCACTGAGAGTAAGCCAAAGCAGTTTCCAGCAGTGCGAGGGAATAAAAAAAGCAGCGATGCCGTTTAATGAACCCGAACAAAAACGAAGGCGACTTTAGTGGTTTTACACATTTTACCTGTTCTTTTTATATCTGCGTTTTTATTTATGTGCCGGCATATATTGAGCGTAGCCACAGCAGCAGTTCGAGATCAAATTTTGTAAAGCACATTCGTTTCCATTTCAAGAATTATGCCAGATTTTATTTTTTCGCTCGTTTTCTCTCGAGAATCGCAAACTCTGTGGTCTACCCAAAGCTCCGCGAAGAAATGCTTTAGAAAGTCGAGGCCGGCCGGCAACAGACGTGTGGTCAGCGCCAAGGTGGCGATAAATAAAAATATCCTCGTAGCTCGAGAAATAATACCCAAGGTAGCAAAGAGCAAGGTCCTGATAGTAATCAGTTGCAACCACAGGTTCCACAGCCAATGGACGTGTACCAGTCTACGGCAAGGTAAGAAACTGACTATAGAAGACCAACGTCGTTCCGTCTGATAAGCCGCAAGGTCAAATAACTCCGAAAGAATGACCTGTCAGAGACGCCAAAGGTTAAACAATACGATAAGTACGGAGAGAGGCCAAATGCAAATGCTGATACTTATAAAGGACGGAATGCAGTTCGATAGCGAGACTGATTGTTTCAATTTTTTAGGGGACGCTCCCGCCTGCCCTTAATCAAGAGGCAGTTGGCTGGGTGAAAATTTTTTGGAAGATGTGTCGTCACGACAAGATTTAAATGCGCTGCAAGCTGCTGCGGAGTCTGCCGCGGCTACCATTCGGAGTGCAATGTCTCTCTCGTATACCATTGAGCCCTCCGAAAAAACCCCAAGGCTATTTTAGAAACTAGAAAATTTTGAAAAGGGCATGATGTCCGTTAAAACTAACCTTCACTCTGTTTGGCCAAAAAGCGCGCCACAAAATATGCTATACCTGTAAAGAGAATGTCCTCGGTTCACTAAAGGAGTGTGTAAAACGAGATGTCCAGAATGCAACACATTGCTATCTTTCGACAACTAAATTGTATATTGTTTAATGGTATTATATAAAACACGGTGAATAAATTTAGAGAAAAGGTTTTTGCCGAAAGCAATTAAAGGCTATAAAACAAGTTAACAGCCTTGTGCACAGAAGGGAAAGTACAGACAAACCTAGGAATATCTGTTTTTATTAAAGAGAGGGTGGTCCACAAGGACACTTTAAAATAAGCTTACTTCGTTATTTTTCTAAGTTTAGTTTTCTCAGATATATCATTAACATTAAACAATGCTTAAAGTTTAATAAGCCACGGATAACCGCTGATCTTGCATTTTAGCCGCTCCGAGAGTGTATGAGTACACCCGTTCTCTCTCTCCCTCTCTCTTTGTCGCTGTTAACCAATAACATCTTAAGTACATATATGTATCCATAGGCTAAGCATATGCCCTTAACTTTTAATAAATTGATTCTCATTAAACAAGCGAACCAGCCCTGTCGTTCAGTTTTTTTTTTCTATAAATACTACAACGGCAACCTAATAACTTTGCATTTATAATAATGAAATATATTGACAACGACAACGTAATAAACATTACATGGTGACCGTGACAAGTGTCACGCAACGTGGGGAAATAACGCAGCACGATAAAAACTACAACAACAGCGGCGGAACATAATACAAGCATAAATTTCTGAGTGAGTATGGTGTGGCTTGAGTGCAAATTATGTCCTTACGCATCACTCTTGATGAGTACAGGGCGCGCCAACAACTAGCCAAACGGCGAACAATGAAGTTGAGAAAAAACAAAAAACCAAGAAATCATGGTGGCACACGGCTGCGCATAAAGAAACGCCAAGAAACTAGCCGTTAAGTTAGACTTCTGAGGGGCGGAAGAGCGCAAGCACAAAGCACAAGTCGATAGACCTGCTCCTCACCCAATAAGAAATTTATTAAAACCTTATAAACCAA